TCTGCAGTGTCTCCAGTCTGCTGAATGTGCACAGGGCTCAAAGGCTGGATCCACGTCTCTGGGGGCACCTATACACATGCATTGAGGCGGCTCTGACTCACTGTAATTATAGCGTGTCAGAGCAGACTCAATTAATCGAGTCTACTGGAGCGTGGTAATTACTGCAATCCAGCAGACTGCAGCATCTCGTATATCAGTGTTCCTGTATTGAAAAGTGGTGCCAGGGGTGCTTTAAGTAAAGCTCATTCGACTGATACATGTGACACTCTCAGCACTTTAATTAGAGTAGCTCTGGGACCAGCTCTTATTAAAGCGCCCTCCCCCCCGCCTCCTGGAGCACATGTATAACCACCCTGGAAGTGTGTTTTGCTTCTGAGTCCACTTTGGACTATTCTGTCATCTGCTTGGTTTCCTGTATGGAGATGAGGTCCTAGATTCCAGCTAGTCCTTTATCTTAGACAAAGTTCCTGTGGTCACCAGCATTGCTTTCATCTCCAGTGTCCCCCACAAAGAGAGGCAAGATGGTGGCAAAACCCTTTAAAGCTGCTTATAATACTCACGGGTGGCAGAAGCACTTCTGGAAGTCTAGTTAGTCCTAGCTTTCTTTAAGCCTCTTACCTCTTTAGCTCTAATCAAGCACCTAATGTCATCCTCTTTGTCACAATGCTGTGTAGTCAGCAGTTCTTCCCTTTTTATTCTCCCTACCAGGCCTCAAAGTACCTGTGTTTATGGTGTCTTATCTTCAGGAACCCTGACCCTTTGCCTGTCCCTAGACAGCAAGGAGATAAAAGACATCGCCTAATTTTAGGTGGGCAAAACAGTGGTATAAATACTAGCTGTAAGCTGATTTCATGAGCGTGCAAATTCAATTAGACCTATGCACCCGCATTTAAACAAGGAGGTGATTAACCAGCTCTACCATAGAGCTGTAGAGCAATTCACAGGTAAACAGACTGACTTGTGCAGCAGGATACAAAGCAGTGTAGGAAGGCAGTTGGAGTGCCATCAAAATAGGATGCCATATAAAAATGCCCACACACACTTCCCTGGGCAGTGACTTACTGCATGGATTTATTTTTATTTTTTCTTTTTAACAGGAGTCCAGCATAAGCAGTACCTTGCCAGTTATGTAGATGTAGGTTTTCTAACTATGAAGTAACTGAGACAAATTGGAAATGAACTATGCATCTGTAGAAAGCTCTTATTTGGAAAAAAGACACCCTCCACCTCAAACCCAAACCCTGAAGAGTTTCTGTCATTAGATAGTTTCCCCAAACTGCTCTTCAACTATAATCATCCCATTCCTGCAAATTGGCTTCTAGCAAAGAAAATATTAAAGTAATGTGAAGTTTAATCCAAACATCCTCTCTTTCGCAGGTTAGCTGTGCCTAGGGTGTCTTCTTTAAAACTTTGCACCCTCTCCCAAGATGGTCATTTCTACTTCTGTTATGTTGGGGTGGGTATGAGTCTCTTGCCTTTGCAGTATTTCACCTCCCCCACAACACATTCCTAGTAGGCTCAGCACCTGACAACAGGACAGGGTGTTTCAGATAACTGTGACTGTAACAAGCAGGTACTAAACCCACAATACTGTAATGGAGGAGCTTAAATGGATCAAGAGAAAATAAGACAATGTTGATGGCAACAGTTTTTCCTTTTCTACTCTCTCCAGGGCCGGTTTACTGGATGTAGTTCTCTTCTGCTTGTGTAAGCAAAGACACAGGCTAGCCTGCGTCACACTTTGAGGGGTGAATGGCTGAAGAGGAATCAGTAAAATAGCAGAGCTGTAAGAACTGAAGCTATTAGCCTTTTTATAAGATTTTTTTTTGCCCTAGGCAATAATGGGTCAGTAGATCCATGAATGAAAGGAACACACACAATATTCATACACTTTATTTTTATTATAACTAAACTGCTATTTTTGCACTTTGCTATTTACCATTACAATGCATCCAAAAACATGTTGTGTTAATAGACCTCTAAACCAAAACATCCTTTTAGGCCTTAATGCTCTATTTAGATATTTATTTTTTAAAGTTAAGTACAGGGAGCTATTGGACTAGCTTAGGAGGCTTTGAGGTTTCTAAAATCTTCCTCATACTATTTTGAATGATAGGGGTATTTTGGAGAGGAGGGATTGTGTTTTGTGGGAGGAGGATGTTAGCTTTTGTTTGTTATAAAGGGGATTTTATATTTGGATGTGGACTCTTCAGAATAAATGTTATGAAAGCAACTGGTAAGCAGCAATAGTCTTAAGTCATAGAAATATAAAGAAGCCATGCAAATATTTGTGACGTAACTAAACTGCCTTGCATAATTGGTCTTCTGCAATGTAATTTATGCATTTCCAGATCTCTTGGATTGGTGGCAACTTCTCCTTTTCTATTCCATGAAACAGCCTTCTCCATTTAGCTATTATTATATTATCATATATACAAATGCCTCAGTGCAGCGGTGCTAAACATGTGAGCTGCAGGCTGGATTTGACCTCTAAAGCAATTTGATCTGGCCATGGCACAGGGGAACAGCAGCAAGCAGCTCAACCCAACACATCCCCTTTCCTGTCTTGTGCCATGCCACATATTCTCTCCACAGCTCTCCCTGCTCTCTCTATCCCACTCTGACATTGGCAGCAACCTGTCTTCCCTCCTCCCTCACCCCACTAGATGAGATAGTCAGGTGGCCTGTGGTGTAGCCAGGTTACAAGCAACCCATTCTAAGGGGTTGAACACCACTGTCTTATAGCAGGATTTGGCAGCCTCTTTCCAACAGAAGCTGGAGGTTGCAGATAATCCATGGCTGTAAGCCAGCTGTCTAAACTCACTCTTGTGGAAAATACCTGACCTATTAGCGAAGGAAGGCATTGTGGCAGAAATGCCCCCGTCAGTGCCCCTCTCCAGAGATCTGTCTCCACCAGCCTGAGAGTCTGGTGTTGAATCCCTCAGGGCGGGGATCTCCCACCTTGTCTGCATGACAAAAGCCTGGCGCCTGGGAGGCGATGTTCTAGTCACCTGGGCAGGGGGGAAAGGCCCGGCCCTGCGTGCAGGCCCAGGTAGCCAGGGATGCTTGGGAGATTGGTCAGCTTGTGGCCAGTATTGGCAGCTTCGATTGGACTGGGCTGCTGAGGTCAGAGAGGTTATTTAAGGGCCCGGTCCAGGAAGAAGGAGCCATTAGCCATGCGGTCATCCAGGTGAATCTGAAACTGGCTCTCTCCTCATCACCGCATGCTCCAAGAGTGCCCTGCCTCCAGAGGGAACAACAACCACCTCTGGACGATGCGAGTGAGTAAGCTGCTCGAGATCCAATCAGATATTTAGCTTCAGTAACTCAGATGTGTGTTTAAACGGCTACCTCAGCCACCCTGGTTTGCTCTATGGGATTCCTTTGATATTCCTGTAAGATTTCTATGATACTGCTCTACCTTCTACCCTGTTTCCACCCTACCCCCTGTAATCAATAAAGTTCTCCTTTGTGACCGGTGTGGGAGACTTATTGAGGGGTGGGTCTAAATTATGCTGAGGAGGCCCCTTAGGTCTGTGGACTAAGGGAGGCTTCCCTAATCAGCCCCTGACTTGGGAAGTGCCCCAAGTGCTTATATTGGGTCTAGGACCTATTGGACGATCAGGCCTGTGTTCTCCAAGGTGCGCAGAGCCAGAAGTGAGTCCAGAGCCTTGGATGGTGGCAGCGGGAACCCCAGGCTAGCGGGTGTGCTCCAGGGAAGGGGTGGGCCGGACGGGAGGCACCCCAAGGGAGGCACTCAGAGCCTGGAAGGTGGTCGGGCGCAGGGAGGTGGGCGGCTCAATGCAAGAGCGCCCCCTACTGGCCCACCACAGGCACAGTAGCACAGCTTGCTCCACATCTATGAGGAGTACTGCAGAGGAGACAGGTGGCACGGCACAGCTTCGTGCTACCAATCCCCCATGCCAGATTTGGCCTCTCTGGGCAGGATCAGACCTCTTTACAAGCTGGAACTGGCCCACAGGCTGTAGATTGCCAACCCCTGCCACAGTTAGGAGCAGAGGGATTGGCAACATGCCACCCCTATTTGTTTGGCTGTACAAGAGCCACCCACTCTGGAGTCATCTTGCTCTTTCTCCCCATTCTTCCCTCTTTAAAATAGGAAACCAGGAAGCAAGCAGTGGGCCATAATGCACAGTTGGGGAAAAAGAGGTCTTATACTGTATGCTAATAGAAAGAGGAAATTGCATGCACATAAATCTGCAAAGGAGCAGTACAGGAAAAAACAATCGTGCTTCTCTTAATTGCAGTATCTCTGCTACTTTTCCAATGCTCTATAACTGTACTACTCGCAAATAGGGTTTGGGCATAAAAAATCTCTATGTAACCTTTGGGAGTAATTTATCATGACTTGTTTTCCTTTATATAGAAACAACGTGCATCTAGGGGATGGAGCACAGGAGTTGGGAGCCAGTATTTCTGGATTCCTTTTCTGATCATTTTGATGTCCCCAAAGGCAGATGTAGATGGTCATTCTCCTCTGGAAATCAGTGTTCCCTCTCTACCAAAAGTGATTCACTTGTTAGGGAGCATGCTAAACCACAGAAAAGGCTAGAGTAAATTAATCCTTACTCAGGAGCAAGAAAGGAATCCAAGGAGAATTTTGTGTCTGTCTGTCTGTGCTTCTTCCTAGAATCGCCCTATATGATAGAACAAGCAAAAAAGGCACACAGCCCTGCAGAGTGAGTTATAATGGTATAGTCATATAAATCCAAATCCTACTCACTCTTTTATTTAATTTTAAATTAGTTTTCCAAATGCAAAGGAAAAATAGGGTGTTATCCATCTGTTTACCATATGTGGTATATGGAGAGTTACATACTTTTTACTGAAAATACTTCAGAAGATTGTGAGTAAATCCGCACATTTTAATGGCTTGTCAATATTGAAAGTGCTATTCATTTTGCTGTGTGATTGTTTAATGGCACACTTATACATAATTGAACACCTGACGCTGTTCTCCCTTTCTCTTTTTTTTCCAGAACAAATTATGACATCGACATCAAAAGGAATTTTTCGCCCATTTTTAATTATCCTCGTTGTCCTGGGTTGTTTCATGGCATTTCTGCTTATTTACATCAAACCAACAAACAGCTGGATCTCTGGTCCTATAGAGTCTGCCAGCTCAGTTTTGAAAATGAAAAGCTTCTTTTCTCCAAAAAATGATAATTTTAATGAAACTACTATATTGATCTGGGTTTGGCCCTTTGGTCAGACATTTGACCTTGCATCCTGTCAAACAATGTTCAACATCCATGGGTGCCATCTGACTATTGACCGCTCATTATATAACAGATCCCATGCCGTTCTCATTCACCACAGAGACATCAGCTGGGATCTGACTAATTTACCTCAGCAGACTAGACCACCATTCCAGAAATGGATCTGGATGAACTTGGAGTCTCCAACTCACACTCCACAGAAGAGCGGCATTGAACACCTTTTCAACTTGACCTTGACTTACCGACGTGATTCAGATATTCAGGTGCCTTATGGCTTCATGATGGTTAGTACAACTCCATTTACATTTGAAGTCCCAAGCAAAGAGAAGCTGGTGTGTTGGGTTGTAAGTAACTGGAACCCTGAGCATGCTCGAGTCAAGTATTATAATGAGCTTAGCAAATACATTGAAATCCATACCTATGGGCAAGCATTTGGAGACTATGTGAATGATAAAAACTTGATTCCAACTATCTCCACTTGTAAATTTTACCTTTCCTTTGAAAACTCAATCCACAAAGATTACATTACGGAAAAACTGTACAATGCTTTTCTTGCTGGGTCTGTACCAGTGGTACTGGGCCCATCCCGAGAAAACTATGAGAATTATATTCCAGCAAACTCTTTCATACATGTGGAAGATTTTCTTTCCCCCAGAGAGCTAGCAGAGTATCTGCTGATGCTTGACAAAAATAACAAACTGTATCTTAGCTACTTTAACTGGAGGAAGGACTTCTCAGTGCATCTTCCCAGGTTCTGGGAATCACATGCATGCCTTGCTTGTGACCATGTAAAAAGACACCAGGAGTACAAGTCTGTTGGTAACTTAGAAAAATGGTTTTGGAATTAAACTTTTACCCCTTTGTGCACTTTTTGGAAGAAGCTGACCGAATCATCAGTCTACGCATACATGGAGGGGTTGGAGAAGAGAACTTTCTGTGTTTTATGTCACAGTTTATCAACTATCTTCTCTTGGGTATCTTATTTATATTTGTCAGAGACTTTAAAAGCTCAGCATCAGCAGTCATTAAAACTCAGTTTTCAATTACAATGTATATAGCTAATTATGTGCACTGAAGAATAATTTATTGTTTACTATAATTTTTAAAAAAGGTTTTTCACACTTTCTGTAGAATATCTGTCCCAGTCCTAACACATGAAGTAGTGATTTTTTAACATTGTGTTTTTACATTAGGTTAGAATAGCTGTTTAACTTGTTTGGAAAATGAAGACACAAATCTTGAAATAGAGAATTTTAATGAAATAATCTACTGGTTTAGTTTGAAAATTGTGTAATATTTCAAAAGACAGTGATGTTTGTTATGTTTGAAACTCTACCCTCTTAAATTCTAAGAACACTGTAAAACTGAACACACAGTGTTATTCAAGGATTAGGAGCTGACTTTATAGGATCTATGAATTTAGAAATGTAACTTTAAAAAAGTTCTTACAGTATAAGAGAGCCTCTGGTTTCTAAATAGGAAGATGTCAGTCTCCTAACATTAACATATTTTGAAAGTATATTTATCTTCTTTACATGAAGTATTGAAGTGCTAAGGAAAATCAAGCTCTGGCTCATCCAAGGTGCAAAACACATGCTTAGATTTAATTTAAGCAAGTGCTTAAATCCAGTTGGGATTTTTGTTGTGTTTTCTTGAATCAGGGCAGCAACAAGTGATGTTATTTCAATAACAGTTAAATTATACTTGCTTGATCACTTTCATCTTTATAACTAGAGCTCTGCTAATAATCATAATTATTAAAAATAATTTTATTTAGATGATTTACTAATATTTATATAGTTGGGAATTATTCATCCAACTCTAAAAGACTTCTTACAAGTTTCATTGAACTTTAATCATAGATGGGGTACATACTGAGGTGGGTGAATAATGACAACAAATATTACTTGAACATTTTTATTAGAAAAAATGATGGAATTCATTGAATAAACTTTAGGGTAATATTAGTCAGCCAGCTCTACTGATCATATAAGCAGTTATTTATTTTCTCCTTTAAAAGTATGTAATATGACATATGTCAACAAAAGTACTCATTGGAGCAATAGATACTATCAAGTTTTGAAAATAAGCATTATATTTCATAAATATTATGTTTTTCTGATAGAAAATACTCAAATATAATTTTGCCATTATTATTTTAAATGTGCCTGTTAAAATGTGAATCATCTGAGTTCATGATCCTTTGACCTTCAGCAGCTAAGATTTAAAACCTGAGTACTATATAGAGTCATGGATGTGGTGTTGGTTTAATAATGCATATTTCAGGGCTATGAGATGGACTACATAATTTTAAATGGCAAAATATGCTTACTACACACAGTTTCCACTAACTTTCAGGCAGGTCTTAGCACCAAGCCTTTTTTATTTTGGGATTACCTAAATTATATTTGAATTTGTGAATTTCTGAATATATATTTTTAAAGCTGCAGAAAGGAGCAGAGGAGCCTAAAAGGAATTGCCTGTTGAAAGAAAAATGTTTTTAAAGGAAAATTCTGAAAGGCAAGATTCTCAATTGATGTAAATTAGCATATTTACATTGGCAGTTACCAGCCGAATATCTAGTGCAAACTGCTCAGACCCATGCATTTAATTTTCCTAAGATAAGGAAAGTGCATGCAGAAATCCTGTGGTATGCCCAAAAGAATGGAAGATTCCCTTTATGTCTGTTTTAATCTAAAGTATTTCCAGCCATTAATGTCAGGTACAAAAAGAGGCCAAATGTTAGAAAAAGAAGACAGTACAAATATTCGCACTGGCTAAAGTTCTACTTGAATAATCTTTTAGTCCTGTCCAGAAAAAGTGCTTAAGCATATGCCTTGCTTTAACCATGTGTGCTTTCCAGGAGCAGAAAGCGATAGTTAGTCTGAAGTCAGACAGAAGACAGGGTAGAGATGCACCTTATAGACTAACTGAATCAGACACACATAGCTTTTTTGTACTGGGGCTCACTTCATCAGATTCACTGGAGATCATTTGATGAAGTGGGCTCTTGCTCACAAAAGCTTATACATCTATGATCCAGTTATTCTATAAGGTACCTCTCTACCCTGTCTCTTTAAGTTCCTTGTTAGGGTTAAATCTGTGGCAGCTACTGATTTTTATAAAAAAACATCTGGTGAATGACAAGCTGATTTCTCAAGTAGCTCTTTGTAATCCAGGCTAGGACCCAAACACTGAATGGTATAAAAACATTGTAATTATGCTTCTAACATAGAAAACTCAAATGAAAAGGCCCTAGAAATAGGGACCAGAACTGATCTTCTGCATAACATTTCAAGAGCTGCTTTTATGGTTCAGATATGTATTTATATTGTATTTATTGCTGAGTCTTAAAAGGCTTACTTACAAGACACTGTGAGTCACTAACTCACCAGCACGGTATGAAATAAAAAATGAGAGTTCATCCTAATCATTAATCTAATGGAATTCAATTCAATCTTTAAATACAATTGTTATCTAAAAAGAGAACCCATGCACATGTAAAACTTTGGGATGATATTCATATTGTGTACAAATGATGACATTTCAAGGTAATATCGGAAATGCTTTTCATGACTTCTATTTTCAGGAGATGTGTAAAATTCATAACTGTTTAAAATACCAAATTCTTTTGAAGTAATTGTTGTGACCTTATGTGAGTCTCAGCACTGACCTCAAGAGGAGCTGGTTCAACCCCTTTGGTGAACTGTACAAACTGTTAAATCCCATTCACCCATTTCAGCTAATTGAAGCTGTGTTACTTGAAGCTTGAAGTTGCTAATTGAAAGTGTTAAAAAAACCTTGGATCAAATCAAAGTCAGTCAATCAGTTCCCAGGCATCAAGGTTCAACTACTGTACTTCCCATACTAATAGCAAGCAACAAGAAAAAGGATATGAGAAGGTATACTGCTTGTTGCTACAGAAACAATATGAAACCAATCCAGAAAAGCATTTAAGTGTACACTTAATTTTAGGCACATGAATGCTGGTGTTGCATCAGGCTCAGTGGGATTACTTACATGTTTAAAGTTAAAAATTCAGGAGAGCTGTTTGCCTACAGTTCTATCTTCTGCATATTTTCACACAATCCTGAAGGTTCAGACTCAAGGAGTAATAAATAAATAGGAAAGAAACTAAGTAAGCCACTAATTATAAACAAATCTTTAAAACACAGTGCCACTATCCTAATAGATTTCTGGAAAGTTGTGCCAGGACATGGGCAAGACAGCTAAACCTATCATGAGCCTGGCACCTATGCACTTAGCAATCATAAAGCTGAAGTCTTTCTGTCCAGAGGCAGACATTTAAGCAAAACTGGGAGAAACATAAGGGCCTACAAACTTCATACACCTCCAGGCCAGGTACAGACAGCCAAAAAACCCAAGGCTGAGTTGTTTCAATCTTCACAGGTTAGTCTAAACTGCAAAGATTGAACCAATAAGCAAGTGAACAGACATTCACTTTTGATTCTAGAAATGCAGCCACATGCATGCTAGCCGGCAGGCAGGCCCCACAGTGAAGAACCCTCATGCCCCAGCCAGCCCCGTCAGTGTCTACATGTGTGTTGGGGCACATTAAATAATGCTGTCATAGGCTAATACTTGTGTTGACACCTACAGAAGTGTCATTTATTAGCTTCCTGCAGCCTAATAGGGCGACACTTGTAGATGCTGAGACTTTACTGCAGAGCTAATTAGTCTATTCCCGCAGTAAACATCTTGTGTAAGTGCACCTGTTTCCTCAGCAATCAATGCAATATAGTTTAATGACATCTTTTACAAACCATGGTTTTCAAACACATGCTTGCACACCTTACTTATTTCTTTGTAATGACTTTTTGGACATTACTAAACTTACCATCATACCCTGAACAATCAGCACATTTGCCTTCATCCTTGTAGAAAATAGGATCCCTACCCCCAAAAAACTTAATTATGGAATGCATTCCCAGTGCATTCATTGTGAACAGCCACCACATCTTTCTAAAACAGTCTTTTTCTTTCATTTCCCAGCAATTCAATAGCATTGCAGCTCATCTTTCATATGAGATTTCCTTTTCTTAGAGATCCCTGGTTGCCAGGTCTTTGAATAACCTTTTGCCACCTGAAATGGTTGTAATGAACAAGCAGCTTGCACGTGGCATGCTGAATTTAAGATAGCCAAAGCCAGGGATTTTTTTCAAACACAGAAGAAGAATACTGTGTTGATGGAGATGAATGCAGATTAAGTATTTAATGAATGAAGAAAGTATGTAGAATGTGTAGTGTTGGTTAACTCATAGTAAAGTTAGTCCATGTTTCTGTATATTCATATTAGTCTCTAAAAATGGAAACACAAGAAAGATGTATAATTCTCTTCCATCTCTTCCCTTACCTGAAAAAGATGGTTCCTGTGTGAAAGGCAGAATGAAACAGAAGCAGAGCTAGCATTTTTGGCTCTCTGGGCAGAAGAACAGGGGTCAGAGCAGGCTCAGGTTTGGGTGCTAGAGAGCAGGGAACGATGAGCTGCTGTTCCTATGGTACATGTTGCCCATGCATTAGTAGGGGGTGCACGCAGGTGCATGTGCACCCCCTGAGATTGGTGGCACACCCCTGAGATTGGTTGCCACCGAGGCTGCCGGTGGCGCCTGTGGGTGGTTGCCATTCACAACCTCCTCCCCTTGCCACCAACACTGCCAGTGGTGTATGTGGGCAATCGCCGATTGCCGCTGGCTACTGCTGATGCTGCTGGCGACATCTGCGGATGGTCACCAACCGCCAGCTGGTGCTCGCTACCCCACCCTCCCCCACCACCAACACTGCTGCAGCTGCCTGTGGAAGCTCCCCGCTCCCCACTGCTATGACCCCG